CGGAACATAGGAAATCGGAAAAGCTAGACCGGAGAGTTGTTCGTGCGTTTTAGGTGGGGCGGGAGGTAGTTAATTTACTTTGCGCGATCTAATTTTTTCGGTAGGAAGAAGGGCACGAGTTTTAACTTAATTTGGATAGAATTGTAAACTTTCGGCGCGCTCCCTCTTAACATTCTTTCCCCTGACCAGCTAGTTAGCCATTAATTTAAAATTCTAAAATATACTACGTAATTAAATTAGCTCCTAATTTCTAGTGTGAATGTAGTACGTAGCTCCCTGCGCGTTGTAGCTTAATTAATACTCCGTATATTATTCATGTAGTTGTAATATCCATCCAAAACAATCTTTTTTTTTATGTTTTGTGCAATATACATGAATGATGTGTCATTGTGGTTATTATAGTATGCATTTTATTATGTTTTGTGATTTGTTTTGTTGCAAGCATCTATATATTTGTAGATGTATTTAATTTTTTATTTTAGATTTCAATTTATTTAGCTCGGAAGTTTGTTGCCCCAAACCTTTAAGAAGTTAAAATTGTGGTTCGTATTTGGAATGACGAGTTTTGTTGCAATATTCAAATTTCTCTTGTGAGGTTTGGCATGGTAGATTCGTCGGTTATTTATGAAATAGTGCACAACCGTTGTGCAGTTCCCAAAACAAATTGGGCACGTATATATGACGTACCAAACTTAACAGAGAAATGTTTAAACATCCATTAAAAAATTTGCCACATCATGGTAGTGCCAAATGTCGTTCCAAATTTTGCTATGGCTGAAGAAAGTGTTCCAAAACATTTGGAAGGACCCAGGTGGGACGGATTTGAAGTCCGTTCCAAATCCAATTCCATTCCAACGGCTGTAGGCAGGACCAAAATACAAAAGGTGTCGTGCCAGACGTCATGCCAATTGAGCGTTTTTAGTGTTAACCTCATTATATTATATACCTATCAAATTTATTTCTTTACAAAATTATAAACATGAATGAAGGTAGGGCTTTTTGGGGTCTAAAAAATTTGTTAGTACAACATGAAAGTTTTACAATGATGTACCATAAGTTTGACTCATTGTACTCTCTAGTATTTGGTTATCTCACAACCAACATCTCCGTTAGTACTATTCGCGCCTTCATTCGCTTAAGTTTTCTAAAGCAATTTGTAGGAGATTGGATGACTAACATAGGGTTAGATAACCCACTCGTTCGACTCAGAGAGAACATCAGCGACAAAGCTTCTCATTAGATTTGTCCCCCATCGTGTAAGTTATTATTTCCTTTGTTTTAATGATTAAGGACGATGATTATGGTAATTCTATTTAAAGATGGCTTCAACATCATCATTCCATATACTACTGACATATCAATCCTATCCCTTCATTCTTTGAATCTCCCTATGTCAGTTAAGGCAAATTGAGTGTTTCTGGCATGTTTAGCCGTTCCTCATCTTTCCTATAGAAATGACCAATTTAATCTATTGGCAAAGGTTCTGCTAGGCTGGTAAAATCAAATGTAGTCCTTACCATCTATTTTCTTACTATGTTTCTTCCGCTTTGTTTAGTGTGTGACAAGATATTTATCAATAGAGCATTTGTGGAAAAAAACGTGTGTGCATATATTGATCATATTTCTCATTTGCAGGTCATATGTTTGCACTTCACATTTTAGATAAAGTATTGAGCTAATTGTAATATTTAAAATAAAAAAAGTTAACAGTACATATCTTAAGATAACATTATGAGCGATATATTGTAACATATATGGTACGTTTATGAATACTTGATTATTGATGCTAAGTTAGTATAACATCAATACACTTAGGCATTCAGCACATTGGTCATTACATCTGTGCCACCTAGAGTTTAGCTCGACTACTGTGTTTAAAAGAACGCCCATTAGACAATCTTATAGTGCTTTTTATTGGTTGGGATTTCCTTAAGTTTTGTACGTCTTTTGTATGATACTTGCACCAACTGTTTCTTTCGGGAAATACATGAATAGTTTAGAGACACATTTGTACTAAGAATGGTTGTATATAGATATATATTTCTTGTTTAAAATGTACAAAAAGGAGGAAAATGCAGTGATTTTATTTTGGTAAAGATAAGACTTGGTATTGAGATGTAGACATTTATGCTTTAAAGACTTAGAAAATTAAGTTTAGAGAGTAAAAATTATTTGTATATTTATATAAATAGATTGTATCCATCATAACCAAAAATGAATTACAGTTTCACTTCATCTAAATTTAGTATGATCTCTGAATTATTCAATATGTGGTTCATAAAGTTAATAAAAAGATATATTAAAAGGTACAATATCTGAATTATTTGATCATGTTCTTAATATGTACTAGATTTTATAATTATGTTAGTAACTAGAACACATCTCCTCATAATTTAAGTCAAAGGATTTGATTGGGTTTTATTGTTATGTTAGTAACTAAAACACTAAAAAATAGGGAATGGTGGAAAATGCATACAAGGCAGGATCGTGCAGATTGTTTGAAACATTGGGCTGCAATGGTTAATAACGTCCTTAAGAAGTTTTCATGCAGGTTTATTGGTTTTTCAAATTTTCATGATATGTAGCCTATATGGTGGTGTTATATTGGAGTTCTTTTAAATCAGAATACAATATATATGTTAATTTTTAATATGCTAAATTCATAATCAAGGGTTACATCCCCCATTGTTTGTTTTACTTTGAATTTTGCAATTTCCTCTGTATTGGTTTTACCTCTTGACCCAATTTCATTTTATCAGGTATTTTTTTTGCATTGTCTTACCATCCGATGTATAGCTCCTATTTGCTTGCTTGTATAAAAAACAGTCATACACTAGGAAGTTGTTTGTGTTGAGGTTAGTAATGTATATATTCTGCAGAGTAGGGCACTCATTGCATTTTCTTTTCACACGGTTAATCCCATTACAAACAAATTTAAACTATTTCTATACCATTTTTTAGTCAAAAGGAGCCAACTAAGAACTATCTAAAATTTAAAGAAAAATTACTTTTATTTGGCACATGGAGAATGTTTTTGAATTACTGATGGGAATAAATTAGAATTATGATTTACATTGTTACTCAAAGCTTCTAGGTGTTTTATAAGCACGATGGATCATTTGATGGAAAAATGTAGGGGAGGGGTCAGTTTGTTCTGTGAAAAATTAGGGACCGGAATGAAGCCCATTATATTCGGTTCGAATCGGGGTTTTGGTAGCTCGGGTTCGAACTGGGTTCGGGTTGAGCCGGTTAATTAAAGCTCAAACGTGAAATTATCTCACTGTCCATTTATATTTCAAAACTTATTTTCAAATAAAATTAATAAAAATACAAACCACAAATAATAATGCAAATATTAGTCTCCAAAATCACCAACAATTAAAATCCAAAGAAATAAATATCTTAATATTTTGTTTAAGATGCATATAAATAAATAAATAATATAGGTTTTCTAAATATATTACTAAATGAAACTTATGCATAAAAATGTGACTAAAGTTACTAAATATTTGTAGTCACTAAAACTTACTAGGTCATGTTTTCATCCACCATGATTATAATCATATATTAGGAATTATGTATAAATTATATACTTTTGCAAAAAAATGTATAAATTATATACGTATATTATATTGATGTTATATTAAACCTAATTGTTTCGGGTTTATATCGGTTCGGGTCAGGTTATAGATTTCAGGGCCAAGTTATGAGCTCGAATTTTTGGATCAGTTCCATTTTTTTTAATTCGTACCGGCCGGGAACATCATTTAGGGTTTTGATTCAGTTTTTCCCACCTCTAGAAAAACGAACTAAAATATTGAGGAATGACACATGGACTTCCCAAAAAAATCTTCCCATTTGCTTTTTTAGAAAGTTTTGTGTGGCTACGAGTTATATATTTACCTTTTTTACTGAATTACAACTATACATTTCCACTTTATTCTCACTTTCTTAAACTTCGATCCAAATCGGAGTGGAAACTATTTAATGGGATGGAGATAGTAATATTTACAAGTCGACGGAGCTTTTTGATATTTTTTTTCAATGGTTGGAATTTTTTTAAGATAAATGATACTTTGGATTATTTGAAACACAATACTAAATGATTGGGATTATTTTGTCTATTTTCTGGGGAAAAAATATTATAAGGAGAATTTCTAATAAACTGATAAATTATTTATATATTAAAGAAATATAATAAACTATTCAAACAGTCTCAATTTGTACTCAAATCAACGCCACGTTAAACGCTTATTCACTCTTAATTGTAATAGTTTTGTGATTTAAATACAATTAAATAAGTTGTATTTTGAGAATACACATAACGAATTCTATTTGTGTACTTTGTACGTAGTACATAGATGGTTTAAGGGTGTTTTAATTTTGATTTGTTTCAATCTCATACGAGACTTAAACTAATCAGACTAGACTTTAAATAAATCAGACAAAATTAGATCTCAAAGGTTGTGATATACACATATAATGACATTTATAGCACAAGTCTAGACTTAATCAGACTTAAACAGGCCATACCAACCCAAATTAGCATAAAATTCTGGTCTATTTAAAACATCCTCAATACGAACTTTTTGTTTTTTCATTATGCTAGTTTTCTACTTCTAAATAAATCAATAATAAAATGAATATTCTAAAATGAGGTCACATGTTCAAATCTTATACAAATTTAAGAATTTTAAGTTAAACACATGTTCCAATCTCATCCGAGCTAAAAATAGAGGATTATGCTTCATTCAAACGACCTACGTTTTAAAAGCCGAATTTGGAGGATCTCAAGTGATTATAGTAATCGATTAAAGAATCGTTTTAGAATGCTGATTATTACTGCTCCGTATTATTATCATCCTATAATAAGTACAACTGTGTACAATTTTGAAAGAAAATTGTAATCCTTATTTTGTAATTCCCCATTAAGCCCCTTCAAAGTCACATGCAACTGCCCGCACGCCCCTATATATAACACCCTAGGCTAAGCTCATCATACATCAAATTAGACGAGGCGGGCCTCATTCTTCTTCATATTTTATTATTCTAGTCATAGTCTCACTGTTTATCCATATATAGATAGCTAGGGTTTCAGGTCCTTTAGAAGCATATAGAGATATATGAAGATCATCTGGCAAATTGGCCGTGCACCTCTATCTGTTGAAGCTGCCAGCATGATCTAAACTTGCCTTTGAATTATCGGGAAAGATCAGATCATATGGTAGCTTCACCTGTTAGTCGGTGCACGAAAAACCAAATCTCTGTGAAACCCTAAAGACTGGGGCAAATCTTCACTTTCTTTTGTTTTTTACTTGATGGGAAATCTTCTATGTATGCATTCTGTGTTTTCCGGTGTTTTTGTGAAATAGATTTTGGAGGGTCTAAGCTAGTTTGTGAAAGTTCTGGAGGTTTTAGTTTCAAATCTGACAACATCTCAGAGGGTAAAGGTTTGATGTTCTTTTCTGGTAAGAGAATTCTTTTCATGAAACAACTCTTTTTTTATTTTTCATTTTTCATGTGGATTTGTAAACTCAAGGTTGTGTATTCATGGTTTTGAAAGGGCTTCTGGATCCAAGTGGAGAACAAGGATTTTTCCAAGGATCTGAAGATGGCTGCAACAAATTTATATTTTGGTTGTCATTTTCTGGTGTAATTAATTTCATGGTACAAGTAAATTCTGAAGCACAAGAGATATGGAAAGCCAGAAAATCCTTGTGCTATTTCCGAGATGTAATTTGTACTTGTAAATAAATCTTGCTACGTAGTTTTTGTGGTTACACTTAAGTACAATGTTTCGTGTAAAAGAAATCAACTTAAACATGTATCAAAAAATAAAATGTAGAGCATCAGACAACAAAAATCTCCAAAAATATTTATTCTGTCCAACAAATAAAATGTTCGATATATAATAAATGATTTCACAAGTTTGATTTGCACAAATTTGGTGCAAAATTATACTTCGTGTTGTTTTTGAATCGTTCACTGCATTGATTACAAATGATTTCACAAATCTCATCTATCATACGTAGTAAATGAAATTCAATATCTTGTTACTATCATGGTTAGATCCTGCATGCGTTCATTAATAATTTTAACAATAATGAAGGAGTTCTACTTCAAACCCAGAAAGATTATGAAAATAATTCGTAATATTGTTGTTGATTTGCAATCACACAATTTATAGATATGTACAACTGTACAAACATAGCCTTCCATAGCTTTTGAGTTCGACAAATTAGAGGACCATACGATTTACAAAATTAAAAATGGTAACCCAAAGTCCCAAACAAGTCGAGGATCAAATTGATCTCAGTAACTATCCTATAACTCGTAATGCTTTTAGGATGTTTTTAATTATTGGAATGTTTTTAGTTTTAGAACAATTTAGATCAGACTTGGATGGTTATAAGATATATAGAGATCATAAATTTACTAAATAAGACTATCAAATTTCAGTTCTAGTAAAACATACTCTGTACTTCATCCGTTTCATTTTTCCTGATCTTTCTATTTGGTTTGTACCAAAATGAGTATTTCATTTCGATTTTGGGAAAGAAATATTTGGCCTATTACTTTATTATACTCAAATCTTAATTATAATTTTATTTTTTCAATCACTTTTTGATAATTGTGTCAAATTAAAGTGAAGCACATAAAATGAGACCTACTAAACAAGGCTAGTAAGGCTACATATGAGCTGCAAAGAGCATGCCTATAAGACTAGTTGCAATTTTGGAGTGAAAAGAATAAATTTAATGTTTTCATCCCAATTTCTTGTACAATTAATTAGGGGTGGGCATAATGGTTTGGTTTAACCGAACCGAACCGTACCAAACCGAATTAAACCGAATCGAAACCGAACCGTATGCAATTTGGTTTGAGTTTGGTACTATTTCTTTCAAACCGAATTAAACCGAACCGAACCGAACCAAAACCGATAAAAACCGAACAAAACCGAACCGAACTAAGAAACTCAAAAAACTTTCATATATTATTAAAATTGGTGGTTTGATTTGTTTTGGTTTGGGTTTACTTAAGTAAACCGTTTGGTAAACATTTGCTCAAACCGAATGGTTTGGTACTTTGGTTTAAAACGGAAAAATCGTAAACTGAACCGAACACCAAACAACACACACACATATATATACACTTTGTATTTATCTTCACTCTTCATTTTTAAGATATAAATAAATCATTTAGACATGAAAATATATATTTAAGCATATACTCGTATCATTTTAATTTTTACACATTTCATACATTCATTATGACAAAGTTAGCTAATACGACATATTTGTACGGAGTATTTATTATGTTTGGCGGTAACAATAGCAAATTGCATTTATATTAATACATGATTCATTTGAGTAAAATTGTGAATATTACAACATTTGTACCACCGACTCTTTTAGATTTTTTGAATATTTTATGTGATATTATAAATGCTAATCAACTATCTTATTTTTTTTGTAAGAAGTGATATTTTTTGTAGTGATAAAAAAGATGTTAGAAGTTTTAATTTATAATATTTTATTATTTATTTTTCTATCTTGTATTTCCTTTTACATTTTATTTAAATAATCAATAAATTAATAAAAGATGAGATGGACTACTACTTTCATTTTCTAATTCTAAAATATATATAGAACTTGATCAAATAAAATAATAAACATAAGCAAACGAATCAAACCAAACTAAATTAAACATAATATTTTTTACTTTGGTAAACCGAACTTCAAACCGAACCGAACCGAAACCGAACTGAAACCAAACCGAAACACAAATGGTTTTAGTTTGGTACAAATTCTCCCAACCCGAATAAACCGAAACCGAACCGAAACCGAAGAAAACCGAACCGTAAACCGAATTGCCCACCCCTACAATTAATGGTATTTAAAAGGATGACACCCATTCATGAGGCCCCTCAACACCGACCGGACTTCACGATGAGATGACATAAATTGGACTATAATCATAATCTGACAGATAGTGGGACTTTGTCCTCGGTATTTGCAGATGTTCTATATTGAGTAACCATTCATCGCAGTTGTCGGAAGTCGAACCCGAAACCTAACCCTTTTAGCAATCCCTCACTACCTGTTGAGCTACGCTCACCGGTTGACATCAATGGTATAGGAAAGAGGGATAGTGAATGGCTAGAACTTAGGGTGGGGAATGATCTACCCACTTTTCAATTCCAAGAGAGAAGAAAAACCAAAAAATAGGGGAAAGGGTCAATGAACAACAAGTAGGAGATGTCTCCCATATTAAGAAAAATCTTTATTTTATTAAACTCGTATGAATTTTTTATTGGTATTCCTATTTTTAAAAAAAAATATTCTCCGTATTTAAGTTCATAATTTTTTATTACTTTTCATATGACACTAATATTGTCTATATAATTTCTTTAAGAAATATTAATGAGTGAATATATTGATGATGCTGGATTGTAAAAAAATTGAATTGACATAATGAATACACCAATTTTCTTCTCAATTTGAAAAACAAATGAACTTTAGGGCTCACCTTGGGAGAACTTTTGTTTTAGGGGCATCAAAATGTTGACAGGTGATGGTTGGTGCATACTATCTCTGTCCATTGCGTCATGTTTGGTATACAATCAATTAATATAGACACATTTGTGCAAAAAGTTGTGTTTATTTTGTCTTGAAACACTTTAGTTTTCACAATATAAAATTATAGTGCTAGCTTATTGATAATATTGGAATTGATTGGATATTTTAAATTTCAATAAATTCTGCCCATTGTTTAAATTGACTAAATTTGCTCAATTATACTAGGTAAATTACATTGAATATATTTCATTTATAAAGGAAAGAAAAAATCAAATAGAAACACACTTTCAACCTAATTCTAAGTACGGAGTTCTACACAAATGAACGTGTCTTTGCAAAGAAATTACTCCACAATATATATGATAAGTTGAAAACATATGCTACCAAATGAGTTCAAACTGTGTAAATAAGTGATGAATAGAGAGAATTTGTTGTACAAATGAAAAGCAGAAAAGCCATTATTTATTTGTCACACGGATATGATGGGGTGGGAGGGTACGATCGATCTGAAAATCGGGATGACAGAAACGCAGCAGTGAATCGAAACATAAGTGGTGTCCTATTATGAAGATTCCATTATCACATAACATCAACAAGAGCCAAAAAACTGTGTACATGTAAAGGCCACATATTGCTAATAAATACTCCGTATGCCCTTTTCTTTTCGCCTGACTTTTGAAACACAATGAAAATACGTATCACAAAAATATGTCAGCGCTAGCTTCTCTTTAATTTCTGCCAGTTTTTGTCCCTCGTTTTAACAGTAACTTTTTTGCAACTCATGCTCTCTGACTTTATTGTTTGCCGTCAATTGTAACAGATGATAGTTAGCCTAAGACTTCGGTTGAACCAATTGACCTGGTTCATGGAGATCCATCTCTTTACCTATTCCTAGTAGGACAGTAACTTCGTTCCGCTAAGATCTTTCTAGATTGACATTGTTTTGACATTGTTTGACACTCTTTAACACCGTGTTGTATTATTTTGATGTAAAATAACTTTCTTTTTAGGAAAATGGAAACTTCACTTTAAGACTGCGAAAAAGGAAAGCAGAAAGACCTTAATAGGACGGAGGGAGTATCTGATACGAAGTAATCGTTGTCACAATAACAAATCAGCTTGTGAATATTGTGCAATAAGACTTTGTTGGAGTTGCAATTGTATGAATGTGTATAAAAAGATCAATATAATGTGTATACGAAAGTACAATTGTAAATAATTCAATTAAAAATCCCCTAAATAAGAGTTTCCATCCTTTCAATGGAACTAAAGGCTTTCGATTTTTTTGGCTTGAGAATATGACGACCCTCTAATGAATGTAAAGGCTCCGGTTTCAAAAGACGAATTGAGGCTATCTGAAACAAGAAAAAGTTTACAATTTGACAATAATGAAATATAAATACAAAGTCAACGACGCCAGAAGAACATCAACGTGGCCCCCTTCGGCCTGGTGGGTCCCGCAACGGCCACAACTGGGCCAGCTCAGGACACCGCTTGAAGGACAGGTTGGCCTCGTCGGCCATGGACCGCGTCGGCCAGAGGACCGCATCGGCCAAAAGGCACTGCATCGGCCAGGAGTTACCCTGACAGAATGCTTTTCCCTATCTTTTTACTAAGTATTGTACTCAGCCTATTAGTGGTCCTATTTCGCCCAAAGAAGGCATGCTTATTGTAATGGGACTCCTAATCTCAAGGCTTGGAGCTCAAATCCACATTTTTAGCTATAAAAGACCCCTTGAGGCTAGTTATAGAGGGTGAGAAATATTAGTTACTGACTTTCTCTCTCTAGCTCTCACTTCTCTCTAGAATTAAATACTCTATCAAATACACTAGACAGTTTAGTGTAATATAACTTTGATAATGTTTAAAATGTATAGATTAGACTATCTAAAAGTTATATATACATATTTTGAAATCTCAAACAATACATATTGTCTTCGAATCTTCCATTTGGGAATAAATTGTAATTCACCTTTTGAGGCTCCTATAAAAGTAGGCCCCCAATACTAAGCATTTATTACTCCTCCTAAACAACTGTCTTGGGAATAAACTAAAATGAATAATTAAACTGTATTCGATTCTTTGTTTAGAAATAATAGTTAGTTCATGCGATTTTCCACAAGATCTTCACTAGGAGTCGTCCAAAAAAATCTTTTTGTGCTTTAGTATAAAAGAAAATTGTGAACATCCAATTTTCCTTTACTACACTGTAGATGGTAGTCTTTAATTTGCAACATTGAGATAATGTTGTTTTTGTCGTTAGATAAGAGTTAAAATAGGTGAAAATTTGTAAATAAGAGCCAATTCGTACA